GTAAAGACTTGTGTCGTTAAAGTTTCGTTGGAACAAAGTTACGGAAAGTTAATTAACAAACGGAGACGTAACAGCCTTTTAGTAGGATGATTAAAAATTCAAGCCATAAGTTATAAATTACATCCTAAAACAAGGTAGAGCTAAAGAAAAAGGAGTTTACATCAAAATTCATATTGCTAAGTTTCTACTGTTAATTGTGGCTAATAAATGAATTATAGATTATTTCAAGGATTACTACAACTACTAATGACTTAAAGAATCTGAATAATTCCAAAATATGTTTTGTAATTAGTGTTTCACATATTTGAAACGTACACTAACTTCTTCAGTAGTGCTTACATTGTCTCAAATCTTTTTAGTGTTGCTATTGTATTACATAAAAATTTATCATTGAGTTTGATGTAAATGTGAGTTCAGTTGGTGAATTTGATAAAATTAAACTCCAAAACACTGTATCAATTCAAAATAGTGTCATACTCCTAGTGTTTGTTTTACATAATTATTTAGTATTAAATGTTGAAATGTGGTTTTTAGTGATGCCTAGGTCTTATACTAACAGATGAGTATTTTTCTCAGGTGTATATTTCATTGCTCATTAACAAATAAGAAGCTTTAGTAGCATTGCACCTTTTGTTTTAACTTTTATTATATTATTTTTCTCATTAAATACAGATAACCATTTTTAAAAACTCATGGTTTTCATAATTAAATGGATTATAATATTGTAAAAGTGATATGATATTGGAGAGAGAGGGTTCAGTGAATTAATTATATTAAATTCAGGAGGGTCAATGTTCACTGAAAATAGTCAAAATGTCTGAAGTTTTTTTTTAATTACTCCACTTTTCTGAAAAACTTAACAATTTCAAAATAAACCTATGATAGCCTTTAAGACTTTAATTACATCTTAATTTTAGCCAGTATTTCAGTATTGTGCATTGTGTTTAAACAAAAACCTCTCATCTCACTTCCATGTTTCTCTGTGTTTTGCTATTAAAATATTTAACACATACCTTTATTAGCTATTAAAAGTTTTGCCTAATTTTTACACAGTTCACTCAAAGAAAATAAATGCATTGAAATTAACATTTAATACAAACTTATGTGTTGTCGTTAACATAATAAAGGTGTTGTTAATACATATCTGGAGTTTCCGATATTACAATTTTTTGTATTTGAAGTCTACTTTTACAAATATACAAATAATAAAAAACATGTTGTAAATATAAAATGATGTAGGGGTGCCAGTGTCAAATAGAATGTGAACAAGAATACAAGGATGATACAGTCATACATCTCTACATGACTTTACATATCAAAATTTAATGTAAAATGCAGAAGTTCAAAATGGTTACGAGGTCGGTCAAATTGACTGACCTTGTAGCGAGGGTCTATAATAGTCTGTAATAATCATGACATGTTTTGTCTCGTCTTGGTTTTCCCTACATGTACATCAATCCTAGACTCTTGGTTTCACTACATTGATGTTTACTTAACATGACCTTGATATTCTAATAGACAAACTGCATACCAACAGTCATTAATATGTAACTTCTAACTGCAGTAATATTAAAGTTAAGTATACATTTTATAGTGTAACATTAAATTTTAATATTTAAAGTCATGTAGGGATGACCTATGTATAGCTGTATCATCCCTATATTCTTGTTTTCATTCTTTTTGGCACTGCCATTCCTACATCATTTTACATTTACAAAATGTTTTTTTATTATTTGTTTTGTAACTTTTTTCCCCTGACTGAAAGTTAGTATATTCTACAAATGTGTGTCACAAAATTGAATATTATGTGTATTGATTTTTTTTTTACTCCTTCACTTTGTACATAATATAGGGGTTGGTGTCATAAAGACACCGATTGTATAGTGTACAAAACATTGAGTGTTCTATACGTTACAATCATCTAATGTTCATCTATTATTGGCTGGTAATTCCCGTTTCATTCTGTACTTAAGCTTTTTAAAGGAATACCAGATTTCTATGCAAAAGCTAACTTAAAGGGATGATAATAACATCGTTTACACTAGAATTATTATGACTAAGTTATTACATCGTGCACTGTCCAGAAACACATAGAGTGAATTTAGGTTTAAACTGGCTTTAGTGATAAAGTAATTGTAATTATCTTGACTGAAACAAGAAGAAAGATGAACAATTTGGTCACTTTCTAGTTTGGTATCTTAGCGATGGTTTCTTGCCTTGTTTTGGACTTGTTAGGTAAAGAAACAAATGAATGTGAGAACCAATCATCTTTTAAAGTAAAACTCTCTGTCATTGTTGATTTTTTAGCATGCATATTTGTATTATCCCTATTAAGTACCTTGGCCATCTCTATGTATAAAGCCTACCAACTCTGTGATATATATTTATATATAAATCACCAGCTGTATTGATAAGTGAAAATTCAGGATTATCAACATACCAGTAGACACTGTAAAATGTTAACAATATTTTATTTCTTAGTTGTATATAGTATACTCTAACAGATTATTCACAACTTAGCTTGTTTATATTAGTTAATGACAAAACTCAAATGTGCATCACAGAGACAAAGAAGATCTAGTGAGACAGAAAAATATACATCTTTGGCACTCTGGTATATTAAAAAAGTTTGATACTTAGATTTTTCTGTGAAATTATCCCATGTATGTCAATGAAAGTTTGATACTGCCCATGTTATATACTACATATATTTATCTGTATTCGTCACTATATTGTGTTATTCCCTCTGTCTCATAGTTTCTGTCAGAGATGCAAAATGAATAGTAGGTTGATCTTTTATTCTTAAAATCAGTATCCTTCATGAAGATGCTATAAAGTATTAATAGACATTTTTTACACTATTAGAAAATCTGTGCATTTACCAATTTTAAGTTGTGAAGATGCTCTATTTTTGAATTTTACCCAATTTTTGAACTGAAAATTCAATGTGAAATAAGAAGTAATGTATTTTGTTTCCAGAATATGTACCTAATTATTTTAAAGTAAAATACTGTAAATGTATAATTAATTGTTATAGTTTTAAGTTGTCAAGATTAAGAGTTACGAGAAATAACACAAATACAGCATCTCTGCAATATAAACTCAAATAGTTTATTATTAGGCTTAAAGGATATGTAAACATAACTCTAACATAAACTTGCATTTTTATCTTACAGATTTAAGTTACCAACTTCCTTCAAGCAATCAAACCTTAAGGTGAGAATTTGAATATAATTTACTGTTATTTGGAAAACTTAAAATTTCAAGGAGTTTAAAGAGCAATTTGTTGTTTTATGCATTATTAAAATACAGCTCTTTCAAGATATCAGCACAAATTTACTGAAGTGATTGAACTAGTTAAGAACTTCTTCAAAGCCCATAGTCCCACAGGCACTTACCCAAAAGATGAAACTCTAGCATTTCAATATATTTCCATAATAGAACCTCAAATAAACAACACTTCTCCTAGTCTTGTACCCATCACTTCAATGTAAATAAAAAAGTTAATTTTGAAATTATATATATATATATATACATTTATTTTTGAAAATAATTTTAGAAGAGAATTTTTGGACATTTTTGGAAATATTAAAAATTATCATATGGTGTAACAGTAATTCAAATTTTGGGATAAGGATTGTTTCATTACTATTTTGATAAAGTTATTCATTTCATTTTGCAACCTTCGTCTCTTTCTTGGTTTGCATCTATGAAGATTTTATCTTTACATACTCAAGTAATTTTAATTTATATACCAATGTTTTGTTCAAACTGAAATGTGTTTTGTTAAAACCTCTTTCATTTACTATGTATGAATACTAGTTTCATGTTTTCAGTATTACAACCATGATTCAATTTCTTTATGACTTTTATTATTGTGAATTAAGTTATTTACTTGAATGTTTCTATAGGTTACAAGAAGGGACCAATCCTTGGGAAGGCAGGGTTGAGCTCTTTTATAAAGGACAATGGAGAAGTATTTGTGTTGATGAGAATACTTGGGGAGAGCAAGAAAAATCTGTTGTCTGCAAACAGCTAGGGTACAGGTTAGTTACAACATTAGTGTAAGTTTTATATGATAGTTTGTTTTAAAGACCTTGTTAGTATTCCACAGAGATTGATGCTTGTCTCAATCTATATGTTGTCTATAAAATTGGAATTTCATTGCTTGTATGTTTCACTTTTAAAACTGCACCTAAATGTGTTTTTAAATACTAAGAATACTGAATTTAGAAAGGAAAAACTGAGTCAAGAGATAAAATGATTATGATAATCTAATCAGTTTTATTTAAATATAAAACGATCCTACAAAAATTTCTGAATTTTAATAATGCAAGGTAATAATAGGGTTTAAGCATGGTCAAGTGCTATTATGCAGGAAATATGAATCCAATGATTTATGGTTTGCAATCAGTTACCATACACTTAGCACTTTGAGGCTGTAGGTGTACTTTAAGAATAACAGTTAATACCAACTTTTCTGTTAGACAAGCATTGACCAAGCATTGATGATGAGTGTTATTGACAAGCAGCCTTCACTCTACAATCTACCAGTTTAAAATTACAGACACTGAAAGCTATTCTGAAATAGCCTTTATGTAACTTGGTGCAGAAATTCTAAAACAAACAAACAAGTGAATAAATGCATCTAATTGTAGCACTGTACCAGAATGTATGTGAATCTAAAATATATCCCTAAGTATACCTTTCAGGCAAGCATAAACAAAGCAGACATAAAATTAACCTAAAAGAAATGTGTAGAATATACACTACAGTAAACATATAAAAATAATTAAGACACGATTTGACCATTAAAAAACCTATGTATTTACATATAAAATACTTCTGTTTTATTGATAGTAATAATGTGTTTTATTATGCGTACAACTTAGCACTGTATTATTATTATTTTATAAAAAGTCTTCATGAACTCTATTTGTCTTTATGAGTAAAGTAAATACTTTAATTTCCTGCATTAAATAGCTTTTGTTTTTACCCTGTGAATCAACAACTACATTTTGGGGAAAGTTGGATTAATAAGTTTTGAAATTTAATGCACATGAAATAGAGCAGTTTATGCCTTACATTATTTGTAAAAATATGCCTATACAATTTTTGAAACTAACCATATTGCTATCAAAATATATTTATTAGTATGGTACACCATAACAGTGTTATAATTAAAAATTATGATAATATATTGGGTAATTTGCTTATTAACAGTTTCTTCATGTGACAACAGCTTGTTCAACTTTTAGAAATGTATCCAATTATATGTGTGTGTTTCCATATATATATACATATAGAAACACACACACACACACACACACATATATATATATATATATATATATATTTTTTTTTTTTAAGGCCATATAAGAATACATTTTCAACTCCTACACAGAATTTACAAGTTTCACCTTTAATAAAACTGCTTGCAATGTTGTATTCCACGAATAAGCATTGATCTAAATTACACAATTTTAAAATAAGATTGACAAAAGTAAATGTAAGTTTTGAAAGCCTACATTCTGGCTTAGTTTAGCTCTGAAGCAAAATCACTCATTTTATGAACTGCTTACCTGTTGAAGCTATGTGTATCCAATACATAAGTCCAGATTTAGTTAATTAACACACAAATGTAAATTTTATGTAACAAGTAGGGTGGATGCTTTGAAAACATAATTGGTTGCTTATTACACCTCATCTTTTGTATATTTTTATTGTTTGTTTTGAAGGGTAGTTGACTAATGGAAGCGTATTTATTGCTTATTTTGAAGGGTAGTAAGAGTATTTCAAACTATAATTTACTTATTTCTTTGTTTTATTTTTTAACACAGAGGTTTTGAGCAAGCTGAAGCTACTGGAGCTAACTTAATGTTAAATATCAATTACACAAGTATAAGTGATTTAGTATGCACAGGAGAGGAGAATTCCATATTTCAGTGTGACTACAGCAATAGAAGTGGATTATGTAATAGTAGCCAAGTTGCAACTGTTACATGTAAACCTGATTCAGGTAATTTCAAACAATTTCCTGCCTGCTCAACACGTTGAGTATTTTAGTAAATACATAAGTCTTGGATAACTTGTCTATATAACATGTACAGAGGTTTAAAGCTCATAAAGACTTTAATACAGATTATCCACAAAAACTGTACACCACATTTCAGTTTGTAAACATATTTTTCATTTGATAAAGCTAATGTACAGAAGTAGTTCTTAAATTTCTCATCTTTAGGTAGTTGTTTGTAGTTTATTAGTTCTAAAATATATAATTATAAAAGTAGGTTTCAAACTTTTTGGAGTGTTTCATTTTCAAGTGTTGCTTCTTTTGGTATGAACTTATGTTTAACTAATATTACTGATACAATGTTAATCTACCTTAATCCTTAATAAATCAAACTATATGATTGTATATTTATGTAATTGGTCAACAGCATTTCTTCAAGAAAAGTATTATGGTTTTAAGGTCATGTTTCAGTAATTTTAGTGTCTAATAACTGTTTTGTCTTCCTAATGAAGTTTATCAATCAAACAATAACGTACATTTCTAATTTGCTAAACTGCTTTTACATATGTTTAATCTTGAGAGTTTACTGTTAAGTTTGCTCTTCAAATGTAAGAAACAAAAAACATATTTTTGTAAATTATGTAAATTTTGGTTTTTATTGATGATTTTATTTATTTGATCTTGTAGCTTCATTGTGTGGTGTTAATGAATTTGGCTTTCAAGGAAATTGCTATCAGTTTGTGTTGGACAAGACAGCAACTCATGCTGAAGCTGAACACCAGTGTCATGAAGAAGGAGGAAATTTAGTGGAAGTTAATTCCCAAATGGAAAATGATTTTATATCAGATTGGCTAAGCTTCCAGAAAGGTGAGATAAAACATTTTTAATAATTCTTGCAGTAAATATTTTTATCAAACAGGATTGTCAAGAAGTCTTTATTTAGTTTGAGTATTTGTGGTAACACAGTAAAATGTTTAATTAATAGCTTAGCAGCTTGACTTCATGAAACATACATGTTTTAGAAACTTGTTTTCATAGTATACAAACCAGTTTTTAAGATCGTATTTTAAGTTCACTTACCTCTTTACCAACTCTTTCTTGATACAGTCACCTATTTTTAGTTTAAATTTTTTGTTAAACATGAGTATGTTTATAGCAACAATATGAGCTTTCCAAATGTCATAGCTTTTGATGGCCAAGTATAGGGCACAAGCTCACAATAAATTAAATATTTCAACATGGTTCTAGAACACCAGTTAATCATTCATTAATCCAAAATATGAGGTTTGTAAATGTCATTGAAAATAATAAGCCCTCCCCCATTGGTACAGCAGTAAGTCTGAAGGCTTATAAGGCTACAAACAGAGTTTCAATACCCATGGTAGGCACAGCACAGATAGCATATGATTCAGCTTTGTGCTTAACATGAAATGAAATAAGAAAAGGAATTAATAAGCAAACAAAGCTTAGTATTAGAAATTTTTTTATAATGAAATTCAATCTTCAAATATAAAAACTCTTGCATCACTTGTTGATAGCCTTCTGGCCTTTCTACTTTATTTCTCTCTATACAATGCTTGAAGCTCCAAAATCTCTTTAACAGGATAATATTACACGATTAGTCCCACTTTTTACATTCTATTTTGGGCTAGTCTTATCCTAGTATCATAACTTAGCCAACATCCTACCAAACTACCATGCCTTGTTTCTTCATGTTCTTTTATTGATTTTTTTTTATTCACAAGATTGATTGTCTAATTCTTCTTTGTTGTCCATTCTTATTTCTTATTTAATGTTAAGCTTCTCTTCTCTCAATCTTCTTATTGTTTTCCTTGAAACTTTCTTATACATATGCAGTGGACTCCAAATTGAATTTGGTTCAGTGGACCAAATAAGTCTTTCTACTTTACAGTGTTTTCTGAATAATTCAGGAGGATAAATTATTAACATTCTTGAAATCCTACATAAACATGGTAAGTAAAAGATCATTCTAAACACCATACATATTAAGGGAACCCATTTATGACCCCTCAGAATGAAACATTTGCTTTGGCTTTTAGATTCAGAGGATATCTTTCCGGAGTAGCAATAGATACAGGGCACATACACCATGTGTTTTCTGCACCAGCTTAGGTCTTATGTTGTGATACATTACATGCCCACTCACTTGAAAAAGAGATCATTGCTGATTGATCTGTCGCACCATTTTTTTAGTGGATCTGATATCTCCCCATTTTGATGCTTATACTCTATTAACACTTGACATTAGTTTTGATGGATCACCATATTTTCTGTGGTTCTGGTAAGTATTTATTTGAAGTTGCCTCATCATTATGAGTCATGTGGTCAGCAAGTAAATGAAGTGACTTCATAGAACTCCATCCTACTTCCAATGTCCAGTCTGTTCTTCCTCTCTGTTTTGGCCACTTTTCAACAATATTTTATGTACAAAATTAACCAATTTGAACTGGTGAAGTTCTGTGCTAGCATCTGGCATTGGCCAAACATTTCTAAGGCAGGTATAATCTATAGAAGTCTTCAATCAAGATGTTTGTTCTTGTTTTTGAAATTATAATTCTTTCTCTTTTTCACGCTAAGATGATTTGGAAAATTATGTATGTGACAAGGCTGGTGTCAATTTGGGTGTATATCAGTTGGTTCTTTCATGAGAAATATATGTGACTGAAGTTGACTGAATTATGGTTATCTAGATACAGGGCATAAACAGATGAGTAATAAAGTAGTATTGTCATGTGAAAGAGATTTTGTAGGTATACAGGTTCAAGTATCATAAAACAGTGCTTGAGAGAGGGGGGATTATAGATAGAGAAATTAAAATAACTACAGCATTTCTATCTTGGTGATTAATTTATGGTAATTGGGGCTAAGTATCTACTAAAATTTCTATTCAAATTAAAAAAATAAAAATATTTATTCTGTACAAAGCTAAGGTATTCTCTAAACATTAGTTCTGAAATGGTACTACCTTCCCTTACCCATAGCTATCTCAACCTTCATTTGCCCTCTAAGCATTGGTAAATTTTCTGAACAGTGCACCAGTCTTTTATACCCCTATATTTTTTGCATCATTGCAGCAACATGTGCTCAACACGTGACCACCCTCCACCAATCCCATTGCACCCTCTATGCTAGCGCAGGGAGTTCCCTCTACCACTGTGGCACAATTCTCACTTTCTCGATTGGAATTTTCGTGTATAGATGTGTATTTTGATTCATCTCCATGTGACTGCACAATTTTGATTGTGCTTGATCACCAATTAATATCGGTTTCAAATTCAAATTTTCTCTTCCCCAGGTGTTCCGTTTCTTTCCTCTGGTCCATCCAACATGTTTCCTTTGTTCTGCTTGATTGGGATCTCCATATTTTTGTTCCTATCTTGTCTGGTTCTCCCTTTGAACCCGTTGCACTTTGTTCCTTCTGACATATTTCTCTTACAACCTCAGTCCTCCACCTCCTGGCATGCGGTTTTCTTCATTCCTATTTTTATGCCATCCTTTAACATTTCTTTTATGTTCCTTCCCTTGACTTCGGCTGCTTGGTAGGTTGTTTTGCCTTTTCTCCTGTCTCCTTTTATTGTTCTCGTTCCTGTATAATTGTTCCATGGCATTCCTGTTTCTCCTGATCTTTCTCCTATTATAATCACGGGTTGGGTTCGTCAACTCTTACACCTGATGTTTGGATGTTTCCCTGGCCGGTCACTGTCTACATATTGTTTCTTCACACCCAACTAACTGTCTTTAGCTGCTTGATACTACTGTAGTTTAGAGGAGACCATTCAGGCTGGTATGTAGACAACTCCCTGTACTTTCGTCACTCTTTCTCTGCACAACTTCACTGTGTCTTCCTCTGGCAGATGTCGTCTTCCTCCTGTGGCAATTCTATACACGTCTAATCGCCTTTGACTGGGGTAAGTCATCATATTGTTGTTGTTTTTTTTATTGTTGCTTATACATCATATTTCAGGATCCCACCTAGTGGCCGGTGTTGCCTGGTCATGTATGCTGAATTTTATATTTTAGCACTATATCTGTATACTTTTATAACGCACACTGTGGAGATGGGATGTTTCTGTAAGACCATCAGACGCTTTTCCGGTGGTGAATGTATAATTATATATCACTTTTTTTATCAAAATATATATATCTCCTGAGGACCATCACTCATGGACTTCATGAGTAAAGCAGATAGCGATTTTTTGTCCATCCCTACTTAACCATGATTCTTACAATCCAGGTCTTTTTGTTTTTTAAAATATGGAAGTGCAGACACCCATTGCACTGTCTCCAGTGGGTTGTTTCTCTGGACCCCATAATGCACCTCCCTCCCTCATTCTTCATGTGGAGCACAGGGGTCCTTGCCACTTCTGGTTCCTAGTTGCTGGAGTGGTGGACCATGGAGGTTTCCTCATGAGTGAGTTTTCTACAATAGCATAATCCTGCAGCCATGTGTACTCTCTTGTTGAGAAGAGGGCTATCGTCATTATGCTGCATATTTTACACACAGTATGGCACAAAATTTATTATGCAAGGCACTTCCACTAGATGTTTTCTACCCAGATGCACCACACTTGACAATCCAATGTATACCAAAGGGCTTCCCCCAGATGTGGTTGTCTGGGAAGACTGCATTTATTGTTCTTACAAACTTATGCATGCCGCTTCCATGTTGTTTTTATCCTTGGACCGCACTTGGCAAAATATGTCGTATCCAAAGGCACTTATCCTGGATGTTTTCTGCCAAAGGGGACTGCATTTGGCCTATTCATATATGATCCTCTAGCTCTAGCTACGTATTCTATTAGTTTCTTCCCTATATGTCTTATCTTCTTTACTGGGTGAAGAGCATACTTGTTCCAGAAGTAGTGCTATACCCCACAGATGTGCCTCTTATTTTATTTGTGGCTCA